GCCCAAGAGTTCCCAGGTCTTGCAACACTGTTTGCCAACCAGGTCTCCACGCTGGTTCACATGAGTCTATTGAATGTTGTGGGGCTTTTCTTGCAGCTTCATTGCTGTTTTTCCCTCACTTTCCGTTATCGGTGACGAACGTGGTCACCAATTAGAGAGTGTATTCTCCGTGAGTCTTAGTCGTGGACCAGGGTTTGCTTTGAGGGGACCCGGCTACTTGCCTTGATATCTCCTGAGCTAGGAACTTGCTTGTTCTTGTAGTTATCAGTCTGTCTGCCTATATTGTTTTGTATTTTTCCTGTAGGTCTTTCTTTCAAGAAGTATCTTCTGTTCTTCTAGTCACTCCAGGCTGGTCTGCTTGTCCTTTCAAGTGGAAATTTTCCACCTCTAAAGATCTGGATGTGGTTCAGGCTTCCACCTATGGTCTTATGTAATGCAGAGGCTCCGCAGGAAGTCACCTTCAATGGGCACATTGTAGCCCTATTTTAGTATTCCAATCAGTTATAGCAGAAAACGGACTTACAAGCTTTCTATGGTGATATTTCTGGCTATTCCTTTCTCTCCCCCTCAAGTGTCTATTTTATAATGGCATGCCAGGGAAACCAAGATTCAAAAGACAGCCAAGCATCTTAACATTATTTCCCCCTTTTTCCCATTCCAACTATGTCTCAATCCCTATATCCCAGAGTAGAATCCATATTGATTTTAAAAAATTGCCTTTTTAAATAGCAGTTCCTCTTAGATGCTAATCTAACCTTGATCCTGACCTAATGATATGCCCCAAAGAAGACACTATTCTTCTCTGATGTCTGGTAGGTACAGAGTACCATAGTATATTCCTAAATGATATTGCTTCTATGGTCAGTCAGATGCAAGATCTGATAGCTTATATCACACATATGTGATAGTTTATAGCTTTGATGAACGTTACTGATAAATCTTTATAATTGTTGTAGTCAGTATCGGTACTGACTCATAGCAACCCTATGCACAAGAGAATGAAACACTGCCTAGTCCTGCGCCAACCTCACAATTGTTGCTACATTTGACCCCATCACTGCTACCACTGTGCCAATCCTTCTCATTGGGGATCGTCTTCTTTTTCTCTGACCTTCCACTTTACCAAACATGATACTCTTCTCCAGGGACTGGTACCTTCTCATAATAAGTGTGAAGTGTGAGAGACCAGGGATAGACATCATTGCTGATGTCCTATGGATCTTGGCTGAAAACAGAGAATATCAGAAAGATGTTTACTGTGCTTTATTGACTACGAAAAGGCTTTCAATTATGTGGATCATGAGAAACTATGGACAACATTGTGAAGTATGAGTATTTCAGAACACTTAATTGTGCTCACGAGGAGTCTGTACATGGACCAAGATGCAGCTGTTCGAACAGAATATGGGAATACTGAATGGTTCAAAATTAAGAAAGGTGTGCGACAGGGTTGTATTATTTCACCATACTTATTCAACCTGTATGCTGAGCACATATACTGAGAAGCTGGATTATATGAAGGAAAACGTGGCATCAGGTTTGGAGGAAGACTCACTAACAACCTGCAATATGCAGATGATACAATCTTGCTTGCTGAAAGTGAAGAAGGCTTAAAATATTTACTGATGATCAAAAAGCACAGCCTTCTGTATGGATTGCATCTCAATGTAAAGAAAAAAATCCTCACCATGGGCCCAATAAACAACATTCTTATCAATGGAGAAAAGATTGAAGTTGTCAAGGGCTTCATTCTTCTTGGATCAACTATCAACACTCATGGAAGCAGCAGTCAAGAAATCAAAGGACGTATTGCATTAGGCAAATGTGCTGCACAAGACCTTTTTAAAGTGTTGAAGAGCAAAGATGTCAGCTTGAAGAGTAAGGTGCACCTGATCCAAGCCATGGTATTTTCAATAACCTCATATGCATGCAAAAGCTGGACAGTGAATAAGGAATACCATAGAAGAATTGATGCCTTTGATTATGGTATTGGAGGATAATATTGAAAATGCCAAAAAACCAACAGATCTGTGTTGGAAGAAGGGCAACAAGAGTGCTCTTTGGAGGTCAGGATGGCCAAACTTCATCTCTCAAACTTCGGACGTATTGTCAAGAGGGACCAGTCTCTGGAGAAGGATATCACGTTTGGTAGGGTGGAGGGTCAGAGAGAAAGAAGAAGATCCCCAGAAGATGGATTAGCCAAGTGGCAGCATCAATGGGCTCAAGCACAGCAACAATAGTGAGGTTGGTCCAGGATCAGGCAGTGTTTCGTTCTGCTGTGCATAAGGTTGCTGTGAGTCAGTACCGGCTCAATGGCACCTAACAACAACAACAAC